AGGAAAATGTTTCACAATCATAACAATCCTCAAAGCACTCTCAATTTATTCCATTCACAGTTGGCAAATCGGGCTTTCCCAAGTAAATATTTGACATTTGTGGAGTGTAGGGTTTGATCCAGACAGTTCAAGATCAAGGTTTGAAATTTTCTGTAAGCTTATATTATAAAATTATACATACAGCAAATTTACATCATTATTCCAATGCAGAGGTTCCTCAAGAAATCATGGCAGCACTAAGTTATACTAATTTTTTTTAATTTCCCTTGAATATTTCCTTGACTTGTTACCGTAGCTCCAATCTCCCCAATAAAATGAATAGCAGTTGTGAATTTCCAGAATTAACATGCATTTAACAGACCACTAAATTATTATGGCAAACTATTGTTTTATGTGTCTGGTTTGCAGAGGAAAAAAAGCTTTGTTTCATTTTCTGAAACTCAGCTGGAACATAACATGCAATATAAAACATAATTATTCTGAAATCTAACAATATTAAGCAGATTATTGTTCTGAGTAATTTTCTTTTCTGAATAACATTTAAATTGAGATCTCCCTGATCTGCAGTGAATAATTAGCGTATGTGATTTATAAACATGAAAGGCATATAGGTCACCACCAATAGTTAACTTAGCAGTCCCACAGAGGGGAATATTAAGTTTTTAAATATTGCAGTATAAATTGAGTTATTTGCAACTTTATTGTCCAAAAGTAACCGTCTGTTTTATGCATCACACACAATGGCAGGGCATTACCAATAAGTTGAGATCAGCCCTAATGCTTTGTTAATATATTATTTCACAGTTACTGTTCATGAAAAGTACATAAGAACTAGGAGCAGGAGTAGGCCATCTGGCCCCTCGAGCCTGCCCCGCCATTTAATAAGATCATGGCTGATCTTTTTGAGACTCAGCTCCATTTATCCACCCACTCACCTTGCCTTGCCTTAAAAACATTCAGCGAGGTAGCTTCAACCGCTTCACTGGGCAGGGAATTCCACAGATTCACAACCCTTTGGGTGAAGAAGTTCCTCCTGACCTCAGTCCTACATCTGCTTCCCTTTATTTTGAGGCGATGCCCTCTAGTCCTAGTTTCACCTGCTAGCAGAAACAACCTCCCTGCCTCCACCTTATCTATTCCCTTCATAATCTTAAATGTTTCTATAAGATCTCCCCTCATTCTTCTGAATTCCAAGGAGTACAAGCCCAGTCTACTCAATGTCTCCTCATAATCCAACCCTCTCAACTCTGGAATCTCCTGTGCACCCCCTCCAGTGCTAGTATATCTCTCCTCAAGTGAGGAGACCAAAACTGCACACAGTACTCCAGGTGTGGCCTCACCAGGACCCTATACAGCTGCAGCATAGCCTCCCTGTTTTTAAACTCCATTCCTCTAGCAATAGTACTTGAATTGAACTTTTGTTTCACCCTTGTTTAGGCTTAGATTTCATATTATTTTTGTTAATTGCGTTGGCAGCTGTTTGCTTAAGAAAGTTGGGGATCATTTAGATCAGTTGGCTGGACAGCTGTTTTGCAATATAGAGTGATGCCAAAAGCTTGGGTTCAACTCTTGCACCAGCTCAGGTTACTAAGAAGGACCATCCTTCTCAAATTTTCCTTGCCTGAGGCACGGTGACCCTCGGGTTAAATTCATCACCAGATATCTGTCTAATGAGAGATTAGCCCATTGGTCTGACAGAAAAATGGTGACTTCACCCTTACTTCTTTTCCACCAGAATCATCCTTCTGTCTAGTTAGTAACTCCTCAGGAATAGAAGAATAAATAAACCTTGGGGTATTTTCTTTGATAGATCTCAATATAGTTTGAAATTATTTTCTTTGTCCATACAACCTTTTAAATGTACAATTTGTTGATCTTCCTCTCTAAAGATACTCAGATCTTCTAAAGTCCATTAAATGTGACTTTTTGTGAATAGGTTTTATAAGATTACATGGGGATGAGGCTTCTTATTATATTAGACAAAAATACTCCATTTGTAAAGGTTCTTGCAGTTATTTTAATCACTTAAAGTTACAGAATGCAGGGAAATGTTTAGCAAACCAATAAGAAACATGTCAGGAGGAAAGAAAATCTCATTAGAATAAAACATACTAGTATGCCACAGTGTTGAATAAATCATTATAGTTTTGCCAAATTTTTACAAAGATTATGCATTTCTAAACAGAAGAACAAGAATTTGGAAATCATTTTTTTTTCTTAAATAATCTTCTCTTTCATGTTTTTTGAAACCTCCTCAGGCATACAGATCTATTTCCTAAAACTCTTGTTCGTTTCTGCTGAGCTGTGAGCAGAAATGAACAAAAACAAACTACTGTGCGCAGTTTTCAAAAATCATCGACTACACTGCCTCTGATTTGCTGCAGTGTATTCCAATTCCAATCCTGGAAATGTTAAGGAAACCCACAACAATGAAGAGTGCTGAAATGTTTTGGCATACATCACTGATCTCATCATTGAAGGAAATTCTAGAACAGAGAACTAAGTGCTGAGTTACTTGATCTCAACTAGGGAAATCTGCCTTAGTAGCATCTGTCTGAGGAAGGGGAACAGAAGTCAGGATCACAATGCAAAATATACAAGGTCAGGATCAGGTCAATTTGTGGTGTTTGCTTCTCCTTATCGTCCACCATGAAATGTTAAACATATCTTAAGTAGATGGCATTGCATATTTGCAGTTTTGGTTCACTTGTTCCGTAAGGTGACGGAGGGGCAGTGCTCCTAAAGCATGTGACTTCAAATAAACCAGTATGTACTTTCTGAATACCAGCATTGACTAGCCTCTCACCTTAAAAAAAATGGCTTTTCCATTCTTCTGAATAAACTGTATAACATCACATATTAAACTGCATCTGCCACTGTCTTGCCCAGTCAATTAACCAATCTAAGATAGTAAGAACTGCAGATGCTGGAGTCAGAGACAATTTCTGAAGAAGGGTCGCGACGTGAAACATCAACTTTCCTGCTCCTCTGATGCTGCCTAGCCTGCTGTGTTCCTCCAGCTCCACACTGTGTTGTCAGTTAACCAATCTATATCCTTTTGTAGTTTCTAATGTCCTAATCAGCTAGATTCTCACTTAGCTTTGCATCACTAGAACACATCCTGTAAGGCTCCTCTTAATACACTCAAGCGATTCAATATTTAGCTATTCATGTTTTTGCTGCACTACACAAAACCAATTTGCAAAATGTTGTTACACTACCTGATAGCACCATCTCCTGGCAGAAATGTAACAGATTCTCATATGTGTAATAAATCCTCAATTGCTTTTCAGTCCTACTTACATGAAAGCTAAGTGGTCAGCTGCTCTGTCAATACTATGAATAATGGATATTTAAAAATGGAGCCAGAACAACTTATCCCTGTTACCGTTTTCCTACAAAGTGTCAGCAGGTTCAAGGAGAAGGAAAAGCTTAAGCAGAACTGAAATAGTAAATTCAGTTTCAGGAACATGTGAAACACTGTTTGACCTTCATGGGTTTCAGAAGAATACTTCAAAGTGACAGAGTTTATTTTGCTTGTATGGCTGGGTAAGAGTTTAATATTGACGTTAATAATTCATTCAAGTGATGCTGTCAGAAACGGGTTTTCCAGGATAGAAGTTCGGTAAGTGGACAATGGTCTGTGACGCGGATGGCCACAGTCATGAGCTGTTCATCATTAGTGGCTAGTCCAGCATGTTATTGCCAATACCCAATTGCTCTGGAGAAGGTAGTGGTGAACAACCTTCCTGAACCACTGCAATCCATGTGGTGTAGGTACACCCACAAGTCTATTAGGAAGGGAGTTCAAAGGTTTTGACCCAAACAGTGAAGAACTGTGGTATAGTTCCAAATCAGGAAGCTGTATCAGCTGGGAGGCAATCTTGTAGGCGGTGGTGTTGCTGTGCATTTGCTATCCTTGTTTTTCTTGGTGGTAGGAGCCATGGGTTTAGAAGGTGATTTTGAGGGGGCTTTGGTGAGTTACTGCAGTGCATTTTGTCGGTCAGTGGTGGAATCAATGCTGAAAGTGCTGGATGGTTGTGGGGTGGGGTGGGGTGGGGTGGGGTGGGAGGGTCCAACAGGCTGCTTTGTCCTGGATGATGTCAAGCCTCGAGTGTCGTTGTAGCTCAGCCAAGCGAGTGGCAAGTATTCCATCATATGAATGAGTTACTCACCACAGAATTCCCAGCCTCTGACCAGCATTTATAAAACTTGTTCATTCCAGTTTCTGGTGAATGGTAACTCTAAAGATGTTGATAGTAGGAGAATTTAACAATACTAATGTCACACTGTCTAAGGGGAGATGGCCAGATTCTCTCATTATACATGATCATTTCCTGGCATAAGCAATGCACTCATCACCCTGAATCCTAATGTTATTCAGCTCTTGCTGCAGTCAGACATCAAATAATTCAATGTCTGAGCAGTTGAGATAGTGTTCCACTTGTGAAGTCACCATATCCAGATTTTTAGCGGAAGATTGAAACTGGACTTCACTACTCAAAAAGGTCAATCACCAGGTTGTAGTTAGTTATGTTTGTTGTCAAATAAGCAGCACAACTGTTCTCAGGTTGTAGGGTGTTCCAGTAGAGTCTACAGGAATTCAGAGAGGTGTTAAGGGTTTTCTTTAAAGTCCTGTATCAATATGAATTCTTGATTGGCTGTTAGCCAGTGGTGATCTTTGAAGTGTTTTCCTCAGTCTTCTCAACCACCAAAAATAATGCTAGTTGACATCTGGTAGAGATCCACTACATTTGTGTGGTGGTTACTGTACCACGACCTGCTTATTGCTAGCACCTCTTGCTTAGGGAGGAATTTTGGCGACGCTTTCCATATCCTTTATTTCTACATAAAGAAGCTTGCTCATAGAGGTTAGAAACTGCCTATGCATGATAATATCCTCAGCAAGAAAACCTACAGCTGCCACTGCAGGGCTTAAATTATCCTTTATCACATTATTATTCTCGTTATTCATGTCCTACCAACATTCTCTTTCACAGCTAATCAAGTACTCCAGTTTGGGAAGCTGGTCAGCACCTCCAATACTTACGATGGAAGTGGAACTGTGACAGTAGAAACAGATCAGCCTCTGCTGTGGACAATGGGAATAAAGAGATACCTCAGCTAATGTTTGTGCCTTTAGATGAAAGAATGTAACAGGAGTCAACACAAGGGAAGAAATAAAAGTCAGATTTATATATTTCAAAATGATTTTTATTGATTCATAACAGCACAAAATATAAGAAATATTCCATGGCGTCCTCTCATCTTCATTCCTTACCCGACTTGCATTAGACCAGATGACGTCCTAACCACCACTGGAAAAAGATTTAAACTTATATTAGTTAATTATCCTCCATTTTCTTGTTTACTCGACAGTCCATCCTATGCATTGCAAGTACAACTTTTCCATCATCTTGATAATATGAGCTATGAAAATTGACAAAACCAGAACATTCAAATTTTTTCTAGTTAACCCTTGGGTAATGGTAAAATACAATTCCACATGTCTACAAAAACCAATTAAAATGGGAATTGCAGTTTTACACATTTACTTTATAATGAGACAAGTATAAATTAGGCAATGGATCAAAATTGGATTAATTTTAAAAAGTACTGAAAAACAAACAAACAAAGAGGACAGAACAAGTGGTGTTTTAAAAGACTGCTTCAAGTTTCAGGACACTATCAAAAGTCAAGGAAATGAGAAACAAGCAAGACTGAAGAAGAGTATGTAATCAAAACAGAAAAGGTGCTCTGCAAATACATCCATAAAATAAGATGTCGAACGTAAGACAGAGGAGGAGGAAACTGGTTCATAAAGGATAATTGGAGATCCTCAAACCCACTTCACAGCTTACACAACGGGATGCTATTGGGAATGAAGGCAAATTCAGAATGGATGAAATTAAACTTTTAAGAACTAGATTTCATGGTGCTAATGAAAATCAATGTGACTCTTGCAGTCACACCTCAGTTATTTTGACAGCTGTAGGAAAGATTTGAGAACGCTTTTCATTAAGAAATTTAGAAACGTTGAAATGAACAAAGTGAGAAGCAGACTGTTGTCTGGGGTGAAGTCACATGGTTTCAGGGGTGAGCTGTCAAATGGACACAGAACCGGCTTAGTCATAGGAGACAGAGGGTAGCGGCAGAAGGATGCTTTTCGGAATGGAAGGTTGTGACTAGTAGTGTCCCATAGGAATCAATGCTGGGACCTCGACTGTTCATGGTTGACATGATTGATTGAGGAAAACATGGCTGGTTAATTACTAAGTTTGTGGACAGTGAGGTGGATTGTCAGAGGATACAGCAGAAGGCATGGGCAAAAAAAAAAGGCAAATGGAGTTTAATCTGGATAAATATGAGGTGGTACATTATAGAAGGTCAAGTACAGCTGGAAAGTATAGTGAAAGGCAGAACCCTTGGGAGTGCTGATATGCAGAGGGATCCGAGTGTGCAGATCCATGGATCACTGAAGGTGGCAGCACAGGTAGTAAAAAAGGCCTATGGCATGCTTGCCTTCATTGGAAGGTGATTCAGTATAAGGATAGGCAAGTTATGCTGCAGCTTTATAGAACTTTACAAAACTTGGAACATTGCACACAGTTCTGGTCATCACACTACCAGAAGGATGTGGATGCTTTGGATAGGGTACAGAGAAGGTTTACCAGAATGTTGCCTAATATGGAGTATTTTAGCTACGAAGAAAGGTTTGGAATCTGGGTTTATTTTCATTGGAATGCAGGAGGGTAAGGGGCAACCTGATTGATGTCTGTAACATTGTGAATGGCATGGATTGAGTGGAAAGTATGAGGCTTTTTCCTCAGGATGGAGGGGTCAATTATTAGGGGACAAAGGTTCAAAGTGCAGGGGATGGGGCTAAGGTTTAAAAGAGATGTGCAAGGCAAGTTTTTCCACACAAAGGGTGGTGAATGCCTGGAATGCCCTTCCAGAGGTGGTGGTGGAAACAGACACAATAGCAGCATTCAAGAAGCACCCGGACAAATACATGAATAGGAAGGGATTACAGATAGTTTTATTATGGAAGGACAAAATGTGTCGGTGCGGGCTTGGAGGGTTGAAGCACCTATTCCTGTGTTATATTGTCCTTTGTTCAAACAACTTTCACCGCAAGAGAAATACTTTGAGGTAACATATATAGCGGATAGAAGAAATGCAGAGATTTTAAAAGCATTTTCATTATTGCTTTAGCAGGTACCACAGGAAAATAGTAGGTAAGAGCAAGGAGTATAGAATTAGATAAGAAGTGGCAACACATGAAATTAGAAGGAAAACATAAGAGTAAACAGCATTGTCTAGTTCTGTCCTTATTGCTGTTCATGTGCACAATAATAGATAGAGTTGAAATTTGGAGATCTCAGTGACATTACAGACCATTGGAGAATGTAGCAGATGAAATCAATATTAATGACATGATACATTCTGGTAAAATTAATCATACTTGAAAAGGACAAGGCTGGGAAATATGGAAAAAGAGGTTTGAGTTTCACACGACATTACAAAGAACCCCTAAATGGATTAGGCCATAAAAAAAGCTGATTAAATACTTCACTGTCTAGCCAAAGGCATTGGACATGTAAATTGAGATTTTAATGATGAATCTTGACAGAACTTTGCTAAGTACGTAGAGTTCTGTCTACAAATTTAATCTGTACACTACAGGGAGAATTGAAGCAATAGAGAATGCAAGACAGATTCATAAAAACAAACGAGCTCAACTATCCATGTTTTCATTATAGCATGCAATATTAAAAAAGTCATTTTTACATAAATTTCAAACATTTATACACTTATGATTTCTATTTTCTGCTCTAAGTTTACTTTTCACTAATCGCTATTTCATTTTCTCAGTTTGTTCTCAAGTAGTAATCAGTATTTACTAAACTATACTCTAGTCATCAGTGTTACTGATCTATTGGCATGTTTTATGGTGCAGGTAGTTATGTTGTTTTACAGTAGTCGCCAAACCAAAAATTATGAACTGGCCTATAAATTCTAAAATCTTGGTATTTTTATTCTGCTGCTCTGACAATCTCTCATTTCTTGTAAAATCTTCTTCAACATATTATCTCGGCACTGCAAAAGACACCGTGGCCAATGGCCTAAGATAAAATTGGCTTAACAGTTTCAGCCAGCGAGGCTTAATGGAATTCAAAGAGGTCAACATTATCACAGATCAAAAGCAAACAAGGATCAGCCCAGAGCTGTATGGCATACTGAACATTGGTAGAGTTGTTGTAACCCGAAACTCATTAAGAGGTACTCAGCCAGAACAATTGTGTTTGGAGAGACAATATGTTTGTGTATTCAACAGTTTCAGCCAGACCCCTTGGCACCACGGACTAATCATATCTTGGAAAGGGGATGAGTACATCTAGGATGACCTAACCTAACCTTATTAGGCATTGTGACTCCTGTCCAGTAACCCCTTTGGCTGAAATCAGAGAACATTCCAGAATGGTTCAGAAAGGTGGGGAATCAGAAGAGACACCTGGTGGCCTTTAGGCCAGCGAAGACTCAGCCGAAGACTCCATGTGAGACCCAACTTCATACTAAGAGGACCCTGAGTACCCTGTCAATGGAGCTCAGTGAATTGAATCCAGCATCCCAATCAAGTGCACGTGCTTTTCAGGCAATCGGCCTAGTTTGGGAAAACCTAATTTGTGTAAGAGTTGTTTTCTTTAACTTGCAAGTGTTTTAATTAAAAAAACAAGTTTGAACTGCAGTCCTTTATTTGACTCATACAGTAAGAGCACCTGGGTAAACATATTTTTTGAGTAATAAACTGGTCAATGTGTCTGCACAGAATATTTCACAGATAACACTTTTGCACACATTTTACAACCAAGTATTTAATGTTTCATTTAACTTATCTAATTGCATAACCGTTTCAAATTTTTGAGATACACATCTTCAGCTGCATCAAAGTGTCTCACCAAGCAGAATCACAAGTTGCACTGGATAGTTTACTGCACCTGCAAAGCCACTGAAGTCAAACAAAAATATTCTCTCCCATGTTACAATATGTGACCATCTAGTTTCTCTATCCACTACCCTCAAAACTTTCACAAACATAAACCTGAGGTACTGAGAACGTTCTACATTAATTGAGTGCACTTTTTTTAAAATACAGAAATTAGCTAGTAGTCAAAACAACAGAATACTTACACAATAATGTTATTAATAGGGATGTGAATGAGCTTTACAAAGAAACCGATGAATCCCATGATGGCAAATCCAATTGCTGTTGCCATGGCAATCTTCTGAAATTCTGTAAAAATGAAGCCACACAGGAATCTCTCAAAATTGAGTTCATTTTCACATGACAAAAAGTTATTAAATACTATAGCCCACTGCATGGAGAAGAATATCGATGGTTGAGAAACAACTCTAATGAATTACGTATGTAAATACATACTTATTGTACTTTCAGATAGCCAGGTTATTAATGCTAATAAAATGGGAACCTTTTCTGATTGTGACAATTAATTGTTTACTCAGTTCCAAAACTGTTTTATGCATATCAAACTTGTAGGAAGAACCAATTAAATTTTTGTTTAAACAAAGAGTGAGTTGGAAAACTATGATTTAGTCATTCTAAGTCAGAGTATGAATGCTATCAGAATAAAACAGAGCCCAAAAATGCCTTAGGTTATGGAATTCGTTACAGGCAAATGAAATGAATTTTGTTGTATTCTTCTACAGGATGTAGGCATCACTGGACCACATGTACTGCCAAGCCCCAATTGCACCTGAGGTGTTGGCAGTGGTGAGCCACTTTGAACCACTGTAGTCCATGTCTGTAGGCATAACCACAGAGCTGTTAGGAAGTTTCAGGATTTTGACCCAGTTATTGTGAAGGAACAGTTCCAAGTCAAGATACAGAGTGACTTGAGGGGAACTTTTAGGTGGTGTTCCCATGCATGTGCTCCCCTTGTCCTTCTCGGTAGCAGAAGCTAAGGGTTTGGAAGGTGTTATCAAAGAAATGTTGAAGGTGATGGATTGGATGCCAGTCAAGCAGGCTGCTTTGTCTGAATGATGTCCAGTTGGAGTGTTTTTGGGGCTTCACTGGTCCAGGCAGGTGGGACGTCAGGAAACAAAATTACCCTCCTCAGAATTCCAAGCCTCTGACTATATTCTAACTGTTTTGCATCGTGCACCAAAGTATTTTTGAACATCCTGAAATGCAGCTTATTTATGCAGACAGAATCACAGACAGCATTACTTGTAAGTATCACATTCTGTAGCTTTCAGCACCTAGATCCAATGCAATATATTTGTAAATATATGAATATCATAAATACTCTCACTCTCTATACATGTTTTCCTTTACATTCTATTTAGGGTGCAAATGGATTAGTTATTATTAAAACGCCATAGTTGCAAAAACAGCTTAATGATTTTAATTGATATAACCAAAATGATCAGAAAAAGCTTTTTTAACTCTGCTTTCTACCTTGCAGACACATGATTGATCCATAGGTAAGGCACAACATTGACAATACAATGATAAAGATTCCGATTTCAATGTACAAAACAATATTCACATTAAAATTTCAAATGACTTATAACAAGACCATGATTTCACAAAAATACTTAGCACAACTAGCCTATTGTGCACCTGCTCACACCCGTGTCAGCAAGACTAGAACAACCATTTTATTAAATGTTACAGCAGATTCAAAGGATCACACTACTCCTCTTCCTTTGTTAGGTTCATATAATCTAGAAATATTACAACCTCATGCTCTTAACTCTACATAATCTCAGCATTATATTTTATAGTTTTTAAGACAAATGTGCACAGCTGAGAAAATTCAACAGTACTGCACCTTTTCTGTCTGGTTTTGTACATCTTTTCACCAGTCTGATTGAATCCTTTACAAATTGACGACTGGGCTCCACAAACTGCATTACTTGATCCATTGTGTCCTGTAATGAGAGCAAATGAAAAAGCTTTTTGAGACAATTGATTCCAACAAATAACCAGCTCAGACACTGTTTAGAGTACAAGCATCAAGTACAAGGAGCTATAACTGGATCACAATACAAAGCCTGGAGAGCATTTTGGCCAACAGCTCATTTTGAAAGAATTCCTACTTAATCCAAATAAAAACCAGAAGAACTGCAGATGCTGTAAATCAGGAACAAAAACAAAGTTGCTGGAAAAGCTCAGCAGGTCTGGCAGCATGTGTGGAGGAGAAAACAGAGTTAACGTTTCGGGTCCGGACCCAAAACGTTAACTGTTTTCTCCTTCACAGATGCTGCCAGACCTGCTGAGCTTTTCCCGCAACTTTGTTTTTGTTCCTATTTAATCCAAATTTGGCAGAGCAGCCAAGCTGACACTGATGTGCAGGACGGCTAAACCTGATATGCCACATACAATCAAATCGGCACCTTGTGCTGCTGCAAAGTTGGTGCCATCCAAGTTGGAACATTCAAAGTGAGAGCTCATAAGCATTTTACCAGTGATAAAGATATTAAGAGTGAATGAGCAAGCAATTACACTAAAACCAAAATGGAAAAGAACGCCAAACACCTTAAGTTAGGATGTGGCAATTTGCATCTTCTACACAATTCTTGTCTGCCTTTTTTTGGGACACAGAAGCTACCTGAAATCTAATCTTACTCTGATTCCCTCTCTGATCTCTTTTACCAATACATTGATGATAGTCAGTGCTGCATCCTGCTCTCACTCTTGCTTACCATCATATACCATTTCTGACCTTTTCTGTCCTCAACGTCTTGATCTTTATTTCTGGAAAGAGGTTTTCCACCAATGTCTATTACAAATTGACCACAACCACAGTCAACTAGGTATATCTGCTCACGGCTATTGTAACAAAGGGTCTACTCTGCTCAAAGTTTATGGCTCACTATTAAATCTGTGTCATACTCATATTTCCAAAATGTCATTTTCCCCCTAACCCACAATTCATATCCGATACGGTTGATAGGACCCTCATGACATCCATCCACTTTCCCACATACTCACTTCCAGAACCATGGCCCAGCTCCTCCTCTCACCAGTCTCCACAATCAGCAAAACCACCCTCCAACATCCCCAGCACGTTACCAGACACATAACTTTTAATGGCTGCTTTCCTAAACAGTACTATACAATGCAAAAGTGTGATTCTGAGCTATTTTGCTTATCACTTCAATTCAATAGAAAGAACAATACTGTACCTTTCAATTAAACTCAACATTAAGGTTCAAGTTCAATAGACTTAGAATTATGTGCAATATATATTAATGACTTGGATGAGGAAAGTGAATGTAGGTGGGAAGGCAAGTGATATGAGGATGACTCAGTCTGCAGAGGGCTATAGATAGGTTAAATGGGCAGATGGAAAATGTGAGGTTATGCAAGAAGAATATAGGACCTGAAACTGTTTAAATAGAGAAAGCTACAATGCAGAAGGATTTGGAGTCTTCATGCATAAATCTTTAAAAGCTAGCATACAAATTCAACAGATAAAAGGGAAGGCAAATGGAATGTTGACCTCTATTTCAAAGGGAATGGAGTATAAAAGTCTGCTGGTTTTGCTATAACTATACAAAGCACTAGTCGGACCATAGCTGGAAATACTGTGCAGTTTTGGGCCCCTTGTCTAAGGAAAGATAGACTGGCACTGAAGACTTTACAAAGAAGGTTTACTAGGCTGATCTCAGGTATGGAGGGACAGCAGTAGAGAGGTTCAGTAGATTGGGCCTGTACTCATTGGAGTTTAGAAGAAAAAGAGGTGATCTATTTTAAACACACAAGATTCTTAGGGGGCTGGACAGGTAGGTGCAAAAAGGTTGTTTCCCTTGTCGGACAGTCCAGGGCATAATCTCAGAATATGGGGTTTCTGATTTAAGACAAGGATGTGGAGAATTTCTTCTGTCAGCCGTGAATTTATGAAATTCATCACTGCAGAGGGCTGTGTATATTAAATAGATTCAAGGCCGAGATAGACAGATTTTTAATCAGTAAGAGAATCAAGGCTGATAGGGATAAAGCAGGAAAGTGGAATTGACTGTTAGCAGATTGACCATGATCTTACTGAATAACAGAGCAGACTCCATGGACTGAATAGCCTACTTCAACTCCTTTGTCTTATGGAGTTACTTGTCAACAATTAAAGCATACTTTAAACCTTCCCTCTTCAATATTCTGCAGTCCTTTACACCACCACTGGACAGATCTTCACTTTCAATACTGTGGCAAGATGAACACTTTTTGCATTGCACATCAAATAAGTCACATCTGCTGTCTGAATCTGGGGCTGACTATCATAGACTTTTCAATTTTAGTATTTCTCTGTCCCCCTTTTCCCTTAACTCTATATTCACTCAACTGTTTTGCATCTACAATATCTTCCATTCTGTTAAAAGGTAACAAGTTGTTATCTTGACCATTTCTATCCATATTCAACCTGATGTGTTGACAAATTATCTTAAATTTGACAATGTCTGTATAACCTCAAAATGATCTGTTTTTGTTCCCTTGCCTTTAATTATCTCTTTCTCATCAATCCATCCTCTGCATATCTAGCCCGCATCTCCTATAGCAAACAAGAGTGGTGCATTCAGCCAATTGTACATGATGTCATTCAATTAAATCACAGTGATCAGATTATCACTTTAAAACCACTTTCCTGTCAGCCCCCTAATAACATAACTCCCTGTCCCAACCTAGCCTCCCTGTTTTCTTAACCTCACTTATCCTTCCTTAGACTATAGAAAAGGATACACCACAGAAACAGGCAATTCAACACATCATGTCTGTGCAGGCTGAATAAACTAGCCATCCATTCCTCTTACTAACAGCTCGTCCATAATTTTATAGGTTACAGTGCTTGAGGTGGACATCCAAGTTTTTTTTCCTAAAGTTGGGGGTTTCTGCCTCAACCAACAAACTGGACAGCAAATTGTAGATACCCATCACCCTCTGGGTGAAAAAGCTTTTCCTCATGACACCTCTAATTTTCAACTACCACATCCCTCTGTATCCCATGGGCTTTCATATTACGACCAGTCTGCCATGTGAAATGCCTTACTACAATCCATGTAGACAACATCCATTGCATTAGCATCATCCATCCACCTTAAAACCAAGCTGACTATACCTGAATAATCTGTGCCTCTCTAAGTAACAGTAAATCCTATCTTTTACTAATGATTCTAGCCGTTTACCTACCAAGGTTAGACAGGTCTATAATTATTTGGGCTTTACTTTGCACCAATTTTAAATAATGGTACTATGTTCAGAGATCTCAAATCCTCTGGTATCATGCCAGAACTGGAAAATGATACTCAGAATCTATTTTCTCCATTGCTTCCTTTTCCCCTTCACCCTTCTCGCTCCTTTCCCACCCCATCTCTCAACAACCTATTTCCAAACTTTCCCCAACCCCCTTCCCCACCACCTTCCTTTCCTTCCCTACCCTAATACCCCTCTATCCCCTCCCTTCCTCCTCCCCAGAACCTCTTTACCTCTCCCCCAGCTACCCCCCTCTCCACCCGGATATACCTGTCTTCCCCCATTACCTCTTTCCCTCTCTCTATTCCTCCTCTCCCCCCCAAACCAAGTATCTCTCTCTGTCTCTCCCCGTTTTCACTGTGTCCTCCTGAGTATTTCCCCAGGGTAATGCTTATATAAGATATATTGCTCTCCCCTGAGTTTTACCTCTTTCTCTGTCTCTGTCTCGTTCTGTCGCTCAGAAGTTGCTGGCTTTTCTGCTGCTGACGTTGCAGACTAGGACAGAGACCTGACCGCGCATGTGCGATGACGGTATGGAATCCACACCCGGAAACAACGTCATCCGAACGCCGGCAGACTTCCGCCCCGTGACGCGATGACGCCACAGACGGGGTTCACTTGGTGTCAATCACGGGGAAGCCACGCCTCTTTACTCTGGCTTGCCTGTTTACTCTGGCTTACCTCTGAGTGCTAGAACTGTCTTATAGATTTCAGGGTGACTAGTTATGAACTAAACAGATATGGACAACTTAGCTAGGAAAATCTGCTTATTTCAGCAATAGTAAAGGTGGAACATAGAAACATATAGAAAATAGGTGCAGCATTAGGCTATTCGGCCCTTCGAGGTCGTACCACCATTCAATACAATCATAGCTGATGGTACAATCTCAGTATTCCATTCCCGCCTGCGCCCCATACCCCTTGACCCCTTTTGCTACAAGGCCACGTTCAGGTCCCTCTTGAATATATCTGATGAACTGGCCCCAACAGCTTTATGTGGGTGAGAATTCCATAATTCTCTGAGTGAAGAAATTCTTCCTCATCTCAGTCCTGAATGGCTTACCCTTTATTCTTAGATTGTGACCTCTAGTTCTGTACTTCCCTAACATCGGGAATATTCTTCCTGCATCTAGCCTGTCCAGTCCCATCAGGATTTTATATGTTTCAATGAGATCCCCCCTCATTCTTCTAAATTGCAGCGAATACAAGCTCAGTCAATCCAGTCTTTTTTCATATGTCAGTCCTGCCATCTCAGGAATCAGTCTGGTGAACCTTTGCTGGACTCCCTCAATAGTAAGAATGTCCTTCCTCAAACTGGGAGACCAAAACAGCGCACAATACTCAAGGTGTGGGCTCACCAAAGCCCTGTATAGCTGCAGCAAGACATCCTTACTCTGATACTCAAATCCTTTTGCTATGAAGGCCAGCATACCATTAGCTTTCCTCACTGCCTGCTGCACCTGCATGTCAACCTTCAGTGACTGTTCCACCATCACACCCAGGTCTCATTGCACCTCACCTTTTCCTAAACTGCCACCGTTCGGATAATATCCTGCATTCCCGTTTTTACGACCAAAGTGGATAACCTCACTTTTATCCACAGTATATTGCATTTGCCAAATATTTGCCCACTCAGCTAGTTTGTCCAAGTCACCCTGCATCCTCCTCACAGCACATACTACCACGCAGCTTAGTGTCATCTGCAAATTTGGAGATATTGTATTCAATTCCTCCATCCAATTTGTTTATGTATATTGTGAACATTTGAGGTCCCAAAACTGAACCCTGTGGTACCCCACTTGTCACTGCCTGCCACTCTGAAAAGGATCCGTTTATTCCAACTCTCTGCTCCCTGTCAGCCAACCAGTTCTCTATCCATGTCAATACATTACCTCCCATACCATCAGCTTTAATTTTCCTGACTGATCTCTTGTGTGGAACTTTGTCAAAAACCTTTTGAAAGTCTAGATGAACAACATCTGCTGATACACCCTTGTCCACTTTACTTGTGACATTGTCAAAAAAATTCCAGAAGATTTGTCAATTATGATTTCCCTGCAGTGAATCCATGCTGACTAGGACCAATTCTGCCACCGCTTTCCTAATGCTCAGTTATTACACCCTTAATAATTGACTCCAGCATTTTCCCCATCACTGGTCAGACTAACCAGCCTATAATTCCCCATTCTCTCTCTCCCTCCTTTTTTAAAGAGTGGGGTTATATTAATTACCTCCAGTCCATTGGAACTCTTCCAGAGTCTACAGAATGCTGGAAAATGATCACCAATGCATCCTCTACTTCTAGGGCCACTTCATTAAGTACTCTGGGATGCAGAATATCAGGCTGTGGTGGACTTATTGGGTTTTTATCCCATCAATTTCCCAAATACCATATCTTGATTAATAAGAATTTCCTTCAATTCCTCCTTCATGCTTGACCCTCTGTCCCCTAGCATTTCCTGAAGATTATCTATGTCCTCCTTAGTGAAGACAGATCCAAAGTATTTGTTTAGAACAAATGTTCTGACTTCCTTTATAAAATCTTCTATCTCAATTCATAGAACCACAGCCCAGTGTTTAGACAGCCACTCTAATCCCACTGCCCAGCAACAGGTTCTGGCAGTACAGGTTCACATCCAGGTTGCTTTTAAATGAGTTAAAATTTTCTGTCTCAACCATCAATTTAGGCAGTGACTCCCAGACATCTACCACCCTCTGGGAGAGAAAGTTTTTCCTCATGCCCCTCAGATGCTTACTCCAATCACCTTAATTCTATGCACCCTGGTAATTGACCGCTCCACTGGAGGAAACAGGTCATACTTGTCTGTTCTGTCCAAGCCCGAATTATTTTGTCCACTTCAAATAAGTCAGACTCAGTCCAATCTGTCCAAAGAGAAACAACCGTAGATTTCCTAATCTTTCTTCATATCTTCAGTTTTCGAGCTCAGGCAACTTTCTTGTACATCTCCAATGTAGTATCTTGAGCAATCCATCTTGTAACACGGTGACTAGAACTTTTTTTTAAACCTTCGTAGGATGTGGGCATTACTGTCTGGCCAGCATTTGTTGTCCCTCTGTAGTTGTCCTGAGAAGGTGGTAGTGAGCTGCCTTCTTGAATTGCTACAGCCTATGCAATGTAGGTAGACCCACAACTGTACACAAAACTCGAGCTATGGCCTATCTAGTTCCGGCATTAGATCGCTGCTTTTCTTTCGTTCAATACCTTGCCCAGTGAAGGAAAGCATCCCGTATGCCTTCTTCACCATCTGACCTACCTCACCTGCCACCTCAGGAACTGTGGATATGAACTCCAAGCTCTCTCTCACTTCCTCTACATCCCTCAATATCCATCCATTTATTGTGCATTCCTTTGCTTTGTTTTCCCTCTACAAAATGCATAACCTGTCATTTCTAAAGTTGACTTTGCTGTTGTGCTCCTCCTGTGCAGACGTAACCTTGTGTGCCTTGCTTTGTCTAAGCACCCTATGATCTGTACATCCTTGATTGTTTTGATCTGCCTATTCTGCTTGCAAAACAAAACTTTTCACTGTACTAGGTGCATGTGACAACAATAAATCAAATCAAATCTTCACATTGAATTCCATTTGCCACTTACCTGTCCACTGAATTAAACCATCATATCACCCTGAAGTGGAAAGACAAACTGTTCACTATCAAGTAGCCTTCCAATTTTTATGTTGTCTGCAAATTTCTCAATTGTGCCTGCCATACTTAAGCCTAATGTATTAGTATATATCACAAACAGCAAGTGTCTCAAAACATGCCTTGTGGAATCCCACTTGAAATTGCCTCCCATTCAAAGAACCATCTGTTGACTATTGCCCCTTGCTCCATCACTGAGCCAATGTTAGAATAATTTGCCATATTCCCCTGGATCCCATGGGCTTTTTCTGACCAGCCTGAGTGGGTTGGATAGAGTAGATAGTGATGAAATGTTCCCACTTGAAAAACAAACAAGAAGAGAGGGCATGGATCTTTAAGTGATTTGCAAAAGAAGCAGGGGTGATTTGAGAAAAAAATATTTTCATTCAACAAATAGTTATGACATAGATTATACTGCCTGGAAGTGTGGTGGAGGCAGGTTCAATTGAGACATTCATGAGGGCATTGAGCAATTGTTTAGATTTTGAAAAATGTGACAGTTTATGAGGAATAAGCAGAAGATTGGCCCCAGGTAATATTGCAATGTTGCACTTTTGAAGAATTGGTCCGGGCACAATGGGCCAAATGGCCTCTTTCTTCACCATAAGACTTCATTAATAAGGGACATTTCAAATGCTTTACAAAATCTGTGTAGAAAACATCCACTGCACTATCATTATTCATCCTTTGTGTTCCTTCCTCAAAAAAATCAATTTAAGTTAGTAAGACATAACCTTTATTTAACAAAACCATACTGATGATCCTGATTAGTTCATGCCCATCCAAGTAACAGTTAATCCTAATTCTCAACATTGATTCCAGTAATGTGTCCAGCATTGATGTCCGACAGAAGGACCTGTAATTATTTGGCCTAAACTATGCACCCTTCTTGAACAGTACAATACAATGTACAGTGTTCATGATCCTCCAGTACCCCACCTTTTTCTCGTGAGCCTCAGAGCACCTGCTATTTTCTCCCTGGCTTCCATTACGGCCTGTGATCCAATCATCCAAACCTGGTGATCCACGTTTGAGATCAGGCTTTCCAATTCTTCACTTCACATTGTCCATGATTTATCTAATATTTCAAATTTCTCCTCTTTAATTACAATGTCTGGATCATCCCTTTCCTTTGAGATGCAGAGTCAAAGTACTCATTGAAACACTAATCCACATTCACACGCATTATCATGTACTGATTGGCCAATGTTTTCCTTAGTCATCCTTTTGATTTTAATGTAATGAAACATTTTTGGATTTTTCTTAATTTTGCAGGCAAAACTTGTTTGTATCCTCTCTTTATTTTCTTAACTTCATTTTTCACTGCACCTCTGAACATTCTGTATTCTGCTCAGCGTCGTCAAGTATTTTTTTTAATGAGATCATCATAAACTCTGTTTTTCTGCTTTGTCTTACCTTATGTTTCAGGATGACCAATGGGCTCTAGATTTGACAGTATCATCCTTTTTCTTTATCGGGAATATGCCTACTCTGTGAACACAGAATCTCACTTTTGAATGCCTCTGACTGACATTTGCCACTGACATTTTTCCAATTTGTTGTAATCAGACTACTTTTGCAAGACCATCCCTCAGACTTGTATAATCTGCTTTCCCACACTTCCTAGGCTTGTACCATTCAACAAATTCTCCCTTGACTTGTTCATCCTCCCAAAATACATCTCCTCAGGATTAAATTCCATTTGTTACTGACCAACCCATCTATTTCATCCTTTGGTCTAAGGCTTTCCTCTTTGCAGTTTACCATACCAAAATTTTCAGGTCATCCACAAATTTAATAATCCAACCTCATACATTCATGTCTAGATCATTGATGTACACTACAAACAGCAAGGGTCTCTGTATCAAACCCTGTTATACACCACAAGACATGGGCT